GCAGTGAGAAGCGTGCAGCCGCACAACTCCACGTACCACGAGCCCACCCTGCACAGCCGGATCCTACTTCATACACCCCCACAAGCAGCTCCCGATCTCTTCCCCTTCAGATGGTTCCCATCACGCTCTGCTCAGGCCATCTTCCTAATCACCCAGCCTCCCAAATGGAAATGATGACCAGTAAGTATAACATACTGAACTATTTCTTAGTGCAAGAGATGTAAAACTCTTCCAGCAGCAAAGATAGACTGTTACAGACACAGCTGGCTTCACACTGTGTTTCACCTCTTCATTTTAGAAAACTGTGGAGAATTGTACTTGCACTTGACGGTAAAGCTGCACTCCTGGAACTGAACTGTTGCCCAGGTACTGCAGTAGTTTCTGATGGAGGAAGCCCCCGCAAGATACCACAGCACAGGGAACAGGAGAAGACATGAACAGTAATAAAGGGGAAAAAAATAAGAAATCATGGAAAGGACAGAAGAATGAATGCAGGAGAGCTTGTGAGATACGTGAAAAGAAAAAGTGCCATGGAAGAGACTTCACTGCTTCGGACTGAGCCGGACAAGTGCCAGGGGAAGAAAACAGCCTCCCAAACCCTGGAAAGGAAGAAGGCGGGTCATCCCCCAGCAATGCTGGAGGAGAAACTGCTAGGGTGAGGGAGGGAAGCCCAGACCTGCAGCATCTGGGCCCAAGCAGACAAGACTCCAACAAAGTGGCTGGGGGACCCTAACGCTCCCAGCCCACCTGGAGCAGCCTTTGAAGACACAAACCTCTGCTTCATCTGACTGGACTCATATCTGTTGAAGGTGTAACTGCCAGCAGCCCAGCCTGCTAAGCCACACGATGGCAAAATGAAGCCATGCATTCACCTGACCAAACCAGAGACACCCCTTGGTGTGTGGCTGGGACACAGCTGGTCTCCTGACTGATGCAACCCAATATTTACATGCTCTTTTGTTTCGTGCTTCTGTCAGAAACCTGTTTAGTCAAGCCCCATTTGAGCCAGGAGACAGCAGACCGTGAACAGAGAAAGTGGTGAGAAGGGGGTGACCCACGAGAGGCCTCCCAGATGAAGCCATCAGCACTCCGGAAAGAGTTCAGAGAAGAGGAGCTATTTTATCCCCTTTTGATAAATCAACCTAGCAATGCAGCCCCACTCCAGCATGGCCAAGCAGGAGTAACAGAAGCTGAACTCCCAAACGCAGCTGCCTTCCTGACACGCCAGCACCCTTTCCCCTCTGCTCTCCCCAAAGCCTTCCCAGGCACGTGATGGCATAGATCCCCACAAGGAAACACAGAGGCCTGCTCAAGTTTTGCGGCTGAGATAATATATGCGCTGCTAATTTAGCTTCCGCCTCCTGCCGCGTGGTCAGGGTGTGGACCACCTGCAAGTCAGGCAGCTGCTGGCTGTGGGGGCCAGCTCTGCTCGGCTGTGCCCTTAGAGGTTGAAAAAAAAAAGCCAAGCAAAGTTGCTGATGATGAACTTTATGAAGCAAACTGTGTCAAGAGCCAGTAGCCAAACCTGGTTTAGGCTCTGTACTAAGTTGCCCCCCACCCTCCTTCGAGGACAGGTTATGTTTAGATTATATTACTTAGCACCAAAGTAAAGTACCCACGCTCAAATAAGGTTTGTAAACACATATACAACTACCTTATATACATACCAATATATGTCAATAGGGGATCGCCAATTATTTACTTCCTGTAACTAGATGATTACTGTGAAAATCTCCTTTGAATTGGTTTTTAACAGCTACCATATAATAACATGCTGCCTCTTCTATCCACTGCATTTCAAGTGATTCACAGACTGTAAATATAGAATACTTTCCCCAAAAAGACATTCAAATGAAAGTCTGCCTGGTCTACTTGCTGCTGGGTAGTAATTATCTATTTAATTACACAGCTCTATTCTTTGCACTCTCTATTGCAGAGAAAAGATGCTTTTTCAGATGAAACGATCCTCAAACATCTCCAAACCCAGGCCCACTGATTACTGTTTCTACAGCTCCAGAATGAAAGGCACTGCAGTCTGAAAATAAGTGGTAGAAGGCCTTGCTCTGTAACAAAGGAATTACAGGAGTTTAAACAAGAGTCATAGTTTCTTCTTTCATGGCTTTGTATCTCTCATTTTCTCAAAAAAAAACCCCAACCCTCTGTGGACCAGATATGTGTGTGGCTCCTTCCCGTTGACCTAAATGAGAGTTTGCACATTTGTCCAAGGGCCATAACAGAAGAGATGTTGCTGTCTGCTCTATAATTTCACCGTAGGCATCATCCAGGTCACAACCAATGCTGCTAGACTGGAAAGATATATCCGGTGTCTGTTATTGTTTTTTCGTGATGAATTCCAGGAATAAATTAACTTGTTGTATGTTTTTAATTATATTAAATCTCCACTGCAAAGATATAGAGATTTTAAATGAGATTAAGTCTGCAAGATACTGAGTTCCTGTAGATGACTCTACCATGCATGCATCTCATCTTTGAACATGAGATGTTTGACATACTTGCAAATATTGGACTAATACAGGCTGATAAACAAAATGATTTTGTGACTTATTCTCCTACACTTATTAAAAACATAATTTTTCACATTTGAATGAATGACCTTATGCTTAAGATGATTAAGGGAGGGCTGTATCTTGTTCTCTGCTCAGGGCATTAGTCTAGCTATAATAATCCCTGTACTGATTAACCATGCTGACAACTGTCCTTCTTGAACAACTTGCTTAAGCATTTTCCAAAACTCAGGAACTGGGAAAGTTGAAATTAACAGCTGTGATAAGTCATAAGGAAAATAATTTCAACTACGTAAGCAGATGCTGTAATGCTACTGGCACAAAAGTAGCAGTGGACGCAATAAAACTAATCTTGAGAAAACAAGCTGTTAGTGACAAGACACCCAGCTGCAAATACTGGCAGGCGGACTCACAGCAACAGTTTCAGTAACATGACCCTCCCTTCTATTACCTGGTTTCATGCTGTGTCATTTACCTGAATTATAAGACAGGAAGTGCTCCTATCCTCAGAACAGCTCAAAAAGGACTGATCTATCCCCTAACATGTAAGAAATGCTTTGTCGACCATGTTGTTCAGTTCTTGAGGCCACCAGTCTCATTACAGGTACAGCGGGTTTGATAATAAAACATAAAACTGCCTTTGCACATATTTTCTCATGAATACATGGTCTCAAGAACAGTATTCTAAGACACAGGAACCTACTTCCTGCTAATCTTGATGTTAGACTAGATATTTAGAGATGGTATGAGAGTTCTAGATGAAGTTGTCTTTTCAACAGACCCAAGTCTGACATGCCAAACATCTACTTATGCTGCTAACCAATCTCTCCCATATAAATACCCCTCCAACAGAAAAGAAATAATGTAATCTCCTGAAAAACAGGTTTCATGGATTATTTCTGAAGTACAGGGTAAGAAAGCAGAGAGCTAAAACCTTCCCCAGCTTAATCTGCACTGCAGAGCTGCTTCCTTGTCACACTGTTTCTGGCAAATTCTGTAAACCAGGCACGACTACAGCAAAACCTGTTATTTTTACCTAAAGGACATTCATCTGCTAATTGTATGCCATCATGTGAACAGAAGAATCTTGAGCCAACTTAAGGATCTAATTCTGCCCCAGAAGCACAAACCTTACATTGTGGGTGACGTGAAATAAGCAGTACACTTTTATACCGAAGACGCATGAAGTGGAGGATGGCGAAAGCCACCATGCCTAGTGCTTCAGGAGCCAGCGTCAGCTGGTCCCTGGACCATAGTGCTGGCTCCAGAGGGCTGCAGCAGGCAGCAAATTCAGTTTTTGCCTACTTCCCCATGTCTTTAGAATAAGATTAATTTAGGACTCAGCTAAGCATGTGAAACCAACCAGCTTGATAGAGGTTTGAACACCTATCATTACACCTCCAGTCTAGGTACAGCCAGCACAGACATGTTTGGCCACCTCAGTGGAGGTGAAGAGGGGAGAAGCTGGATTCACATTTCGAGCAAACAAGTTAAAACTCCTAATTTTTGTTGTAAGAAAACCATTTTATGAATTGAAAACATCTGCTTAAGAGCACCACTAAGAGGGAAAGAGGATGTGGCCCTGCTCATTCCCTTCCTCCTCACAGGTCTCTGAGGGCTGCCTGAGGTAGGGCAGAAGACCACTCTGCTCCAGATGACCACACACACACAGCACAAAAGATGAAAACCTGCACATGGGACAGGTTCTCCCCACTGCTCACTGGCAAGTACAGAAAGCCAAATACTTCTCTAACTAGGGCTGTCCAGTGTCAGTTTACTAACAGTCATTTTCACTGTAAGCAAAACCACCAAATCTCTAGAACTAATTCATCTTTTCAGGCAAGAAACAGCTGATACTTGGACAGTGAAAAAATAAGCACACTGGGCTGTGTAACTGCAACTGAACAATAACCTGGCTAAAGGAAGGGTTTATCATAAGGTATTGCTTGTCAAGCTCACAGCCTTCAAAGATGCTGTTTAGCATGAAAGACTGGAGAACTGGGTGTGCGACTGCAGTCTGTTCTCATCCCTGGGGTGGTATTTGCTCTCATCGCAGTCATGAAGCCTCTGAGACACTGAGAGAACTGCCTTCAGTCCATGGTAAAATTACTAAAGTAGCGAGAGGGAGATAGACTGCCTTAACATGAGTATTAACTTTGCTCTCTGCTGGTAACAAAGGAGAGAAGTTTTTGATACTGAAAGAAATTCAAACAGAGAGAAAAAACTGAACAGCAAACAAAAGCAACACTGGTCAGTTCATTTTGGCACACATCAGGCTGCAATTCTGCTGCCAATGTCAATATATTACATGCTGTGTAGCTATAAATTTCACTTGTGTTTGAATAAACACCAGCATATAGAACTGCTTTGGGTCTGCCTAATGCAGTCTGTCTGTGGACAGGACAGAATTGCTATATTTCTTCAGCTGAATGGCCCCAAAATTAAAATCTTTAGTTGCTCTCAAAGTACACGTACCTGCAATCCCTTGTAGCAGCCCACAGACATTAAAAATGCTTTTCTTCATAATACTCTGCACACACATAGTAAAGACAGACACAAATGCCACGGCACAGAGAATCATGATTCCCACGGCTAGGAAAATAGCGGTTGCCTGCCAGAACCCACTGGCAATCTCATTGAAGTTTTCGGCGTAAGGACCACAAAGCGTGTCTCGTCTAGAAAGCTGCATGTGGGAGATTCTGGTGCAGCGCCCATAGATGCCCAGTGTCGGATGGTAAGGCTCCTGCGACCCCCCCGTTCTGTTGTCCACATCCTCAGAGCTTGAAGGCTTTGCTTTGCCAATCAGCCAGTCTGCGCTCATGAAAGCAATGAGCTCTGCGAAAGCCACCACAATACTCAGGAGAGTCCATAGCATCGACCGACATGTTACAATGACATGACACATATTGATGTTCAGTGCTTCTGATCAGTACAGCTGACAGTCTTAAAATCCAGGCACAACAGAGAAAAATTAAATTAAGAAAGAAAAAAAGGACTCTAAGAAAATCACTGTGGCTGTTCTGCCTGCTCTTCCAGCTCTCTCACAAAGGCCAAGATGAAATTTCTCAGGAGAAAAAGTGAACGGCCCCAAGTTTTGCAAGCAGTACAGTCATTTGTTCTCTCTGTTTAGTTCCTCCTTTTTTCTTTCTGGGATGATGATCTCTGAAGTACGCTTTTCTTTCTTAATATTCATACTGGCACATGATGCTGCAGGCTGGCGGGGGAGGCCAAGGACTGCCCACTCTTTGACATCACACACCTACAAGAAAAAAGAGACAACACAGCAGCAGTGAGAAAAAAAGTCTTCGTTTCCGCCCCCACAACGAGCCAAGATCTCTGGCAGACCCACATCTACATGCAAAAGCTCTAACAAGGGCCAGTCAAACAGACCCTGCTGGAAACCTCTTGGGTTTGTCCCAGGGGAGTGATTAATCTCCCATTACTCAGCCCGTACTTAAAGGTACATATCTGCTTTGCCCCATCCCATTGTGGGTGTTTGTCAAGCCGTTTGCAAGCAAAGGTCTCAGTAACACCCAGAGGTCCCACCCACTCCTACCACCACGCCCCCATCATCTTCCTCTGGTCGAAATTACCAACGTTGCTGGCAGTTACCCAGCAAAATGTTCGTACACGTTTAAGCAGTTTCACAGACGTGCGCTCCTGCCTTCAGTTTGGGAAGGCAGCACAGCATGCCTCCAGGAAGGAAGCCAGGCACAGCTCCATGTGCCATGGGCACCTGGGTGCAAGGGGCAATGAAGGAACCTTGTTCCAACCTTCTGGGCTTCTGCTGACTGCAGCTGAGCCAACCCCAGCCTTGCGAGGAGGTGAACAGCACTGCAGCTGGGGACAGCCCGCCCTGCGATGTGGTGACAGCCCATCCCTTTGAAGCCTGGGTTTTGCAGGACCGGTGCTTCCCCGGGTTCTGTATCCAGCTTTGCACCAGTGTTTCAGAAAAGCAATCTGCCTGCAGGTATGTCACACACCTCATCTTGAACTGATGCCAACACCAGCAGCCTCACGTGACTTACGCCCCTGTAAACAGGAATCTGCGGAAAAATGCTTCAGTCGCTGCCAAGTGGCCAAGAGCCCTGGTGAGAGGGGGTTGCCAGTCAGCCTTGAGATTCCTGACTCCTCTCAATTACCCCCTTCCACAGCCCTGTGCACGCTGGGAGTGCAGCAAAATGTTCCCCAGGGCTTTCCCTGAGCCTTTATGCTGCCTTTCAGCAGTAGCTGATGACATTCTCAGTTACACTTATCTTAGTGCAAGAGGCAATCAGAGATCACTATACTTCCAACTCCTCTCCAAATAACTGGCCTCAAAATAACAAATGGGTCATTGCACATGCCTCTGCGCTTGAACTGAAACTGTGTTGCCTGAAAGCAAGAGTGGGAGCAGGAAATGCCCTCACATTACCCCCTCCATGATGAGAACATAGCACTTCCAAGTTTTCCTCACAAAAACCAAAATACTGATATTGAACTGGAGGCAAGAGAGTTGAGAACCATATCTGGACCTCATTGCTGTGCTGCTGCCAAACAGAAAGGGGTCAGCAGATGCCAGAAAAACAGACATCCCCAATTTTCTTTTTAGCTTTGTCACGGGGTTGGTATTTAATTTCTTAGGAGTTTTGAGCCCACTGGTTGAATCGTAGTCCCACTGAAAGCAAAACAAAACACACCCCCACAACTTCAACATATCCAGAATTTCATCCAGCAATTTCTACTCCCTCCTATAACTAGTCCTCGTGAATCATCTGCAAGATTTTATCTGCATTTCTCTTCCTTGTCTAGATCTGCAGACTCCTCTGGTACTAGCAGATATATGGACTTAAGCTGCTGTGCCACAAGTGAATTTTGTATCCCTTATTTTGATGTTACAGCATGGCCTTAAAAAAAGGCAAAACTTTTAGTTGTACTTTTAGCCATACGGAGATAACAGTTCAGCTCATTTTCCATTTTCTGGGGGAAAGCATGAAGTTTTCAAGCAACCTGACATACCGATGACTCGAATACACCCTTTGTAATAACAGAGTGCTGACATGTCAGCCTGCCAAAAAAAAGTTAATTCTCTCAGTATTTCCACTGCAAATAACAACTGGAATGTAGGAAATGTCCACAACAAACCTACATTCTTCTGATGTCATCTGCACGATTAAAGAGAATTTAAGAGAAAATGTCTTTATTTTTTAAAAGAAGTTCCAAAAAGCTCTAGAATCTGTATTTCTGTGCAAGCACCACACCCATGTGAACTCCTCATCTTTGTAATTCCAGGATTCTAACTGAGGTGCAAGGGACATAAGAGTTGAACACCCATCATAGCTGTTACTGTTTACTCTGTACCTGCTAAACATAAAATACCGCTTATTGAACACAGATGAGAACAAAGTTCATATTTACTTAAGTAGGTGAAAATTCCAGATGAACACTGGCAGCCACAAAAACATGGCACTGATAACAAACGTGGGATGCTGTATTAGAATCAGAAGAAAAGACCAAACCACGGCGTTCTTCTCCATTTGAAATGCAAGTGCAAGAATAAATTGCAGTAACATTTTAAAACACAGTATCTCCAGAAAAGTCACTGCATAAGCAAAATAGCCTGTCTAAAGATGATATGGAGATTGTGTCAAATCTCAGGACTTCACTGGAAAATACACTTCCCTGTTTTGCAACACAGGGAAACTTCACAGCACCTAAAAGTTAGTAAACGTCATCGATAACTACAGTTCAACACAATATACTTTGCTTTCCAATGAAACCTTCACAATTCAGCTTTTCCCAGGTAACAAGTACTTCATTCTGGTACAAAACGTATCTCCAGAGCAATGTATCCCTATTCACGGGAGAATTGCTGCATAAGTTTATTCTCGCACTAGTGATGCCCTCAAATGGGAGTGCCACTCCCCTACAACTCCTTTTTGTGAGCAGATAGACAGAAACATATGAAGTAGGATGCCGCATAGACCAGAGGAGGGGGAGCAGCATTTCTTCTTTGTGAGACTTGGCAAGGAATGATTGCAGATGAAGTACTGGAGATAAGTTACAGTTCACTCATGCTTGCGTACTTAACCTTTTTCTTCCAACACACCCCACCTTGAGTTTCCAAATGAACCTAACCAATTCTCACGTGGCTCTAACAGCACCTTTGTGCATGTATGTTTGTGTCATACATTGAAGCCTTTCCAGCTACAGACTGTGCTAAATAACTGCACTTCATGAAGCTTCCCTCCAGCACTCTGCTCACCCCTTTTCTTCCATTTTTGCTCAACAGAAACTCAAGCTAGGCCCTCGTGAGGCTGAAAGCTGGCTGTTTACTCCTCCTCTCAGTCTTCCATCCCTCAACAATTTTTTTCCATGACAGAACTGTATGTTCTTCACACCACTCAATATCCACTTCTGATCGACTGTCAAAATATTTGCTTTGACAGCCCAAATTCAAAATATACAACAGTTCTTTAACCCCTTTGGTATTAACTCATTCAAAATAATTCTTGCTGAAGAAGCAGACTACAGACTACAGTAGGCTCGCCCCTTAGTCATTTGGGCCTCCCCCTATTTTTACTATTGCATTCCATTGTATATGCGTGGAAGGAGGTCATCCACGCTGGGGAAGTGGGTGCCCCTACAGGGAAACCGTCCTGCACAGCAAGCACCCATGTGAGCCGCACACCATGGCAGCTCCCCAGCAAGAGTGTCTCGGCAGTGCCATCCCACCCCACCATACAACCCCCTGTTCCTTGGCTGGACAGCACAGCTCTTGGACAGGTCAAAACTACACCTTCAGCATCATTTACTCTGCTCTCTGAACCATGCTCATGGTCAGGCTCTGCATTAAGTGAAGTCTAACACAGTGAAAAGATGCCAGGGAGAACATCAGATCCTCACAACATCCAGAGACAATAAAACAGAATTCTTGAATGCAAAAATCTTTTGGTTGTTTTACTCTAACAAAACATCTTAAAATATCACTAAAATTTTCTTCCTTTTTAGATGCAATTTTGACAGCCAGATACTGTGCCTCAAGTTACACTTTCACGTTTCTGGCTAAGACTGTTCAGCTGTTGCCTTTTACTACACAACACTGCTACATGCTAAATAAATAAATAACATGTATTTTTCTGAACTAGACAAAGAAACACACTTGCCTCCATTTTGCTTACACTGCCAAAACCAGAGTCAGAAACTGATCCAAATTACAATATTTGATTTAAAGTTTTGATTTTAGAGATGTTGAGCTATAGGGTTTTACTTTGGCATACCAGGAAGGAACAGCTGCAAAGTTCAAATCTGAGTCAATCACATACCATGGCTGTTTATTTTAAAAAGGTGTTCTACAAGCAATGTACAAGAGACCTGCAAGTACCTTCCACAACAATGTTATAGCCAGTCCTTCACACTCCCCTTATGGTTTGAGCGAAGACAGGGGCTCAGACAAAACCCTACAATTCAGCTTTCACCCTTCCCAGCCTGGTTCTGTCAAGCTCAAGAGTGAGAATAAATCATCTTTAGATAAGTGGCTTTTGGCTTGGCTTAAACAAACAGCTGAATGGAAGGCCACACAGACTGCTGAAACAGTCCCAATTTATAAAATAAATCCAGGCAAAATTAGACATTTTCTTCTAAAGCTTGCTACAGTCCAAAGCACAACTACATGCAGGAGTTTCTAAACCTTGTTTACAATACACACGCTTGAGCATCTAATTACCCAAAATGTGCAAATCTTGAAAGTCTGGGTTCTGCTTTCTCTGAAACATTGTTCATTAGCAATTATAAACACTGTGAAGATGCTTTGAACTGTGAGAGTGGAAGTGGTTCCTATTTATGTTGATGTTTGTAGACTTGCTATTTAAAACAAACAGAAAGAGGCTCACACACTAAGACTCAGTTACCTCATGCTGACCCCCACCCAGGTCGACATGAGCTCCCTCTTTATGCAGCTTCCATCCTTAGGTGTTGCTGGACAAGCAAGCTAGTCAACTGTGAGCTCACCCTGCCTGGCAGAGTGAAGCACCATCAAACCACGGAGGGAGGAGTGACAATGTGGGATGAGCATTAGAGATTATTCATTTTCTGAGTAAGTGATAAATGTGAGCAAATAAACTTCTCCCCCCACTTGGTCCCCTCACAGGAGGTGCATTCTTCCAGGAGCTGCTGCCCAGGAGCTGAGGGCAGGCTCCTGCT